ATGCCCTCAAAAGCGGGAAGTCAGCTGTAAGGAACTGAATAGAAAACTGTTAGAAATATGTTTAAAGTTTTACAGTCACATCCACTGCAGTTTTAGTACTCACTCTTGTGCATCCATGTAATAAAAGGTAAGAAAATAGAGCTCTACACTTACCATGGTTTCGGGCTCTCTGTAGCCAAAGTCTTCTAAAGGGACAGTCAGGTATGTTCTGTACCCCCCACTTTGCGTGCCCCTTTTTATGCAAGTGTTGTGGGGTTTTTTTCACAGGAAAAGATATCAGCAAGGTCCTTGTTTTGAATGTGATCAGAGATTTAGCAGAATTTTTAGCAGCATTTGTTTGGGCTGCACTGCACCGCTGTGAAGGACAAATAATAGTGAATGAGTTTATGCAAGTGAGAAGATTACATAGTTACATTTTTGACTTAATTGAAATGGCAGATATTTTTGGTTTTGCTTTTCATACTTGGTGTTCCTGAATTTTTGTGTATTCAGGCTTCACTACCAACCCCATACACATCTGCTTCTGCCTCAGATTTTCATGGATGTCTAAAATCTGAAGTAATTTTCTTCCTTTAATAAGATTAACTGTATTTATGTGAATTAGCCTTTGACTATTCAACTCTCCATAGCTGATGTTATCAGAAAAATGAGATTGTCCTGGCCCAATACAATATTAAAGTTCCGCACTGCTGCAGACCTCCTATACACAGAAATGGAAGGAATAAAGAGTATATAGCCATAAACCTCACTGAGCTGGATCTAGCAAAAAAAGCTAAACCAGAAATGAAAACGGATAAAAGAATCCTCATACTCAGACTGTGGTAAGTTTCTCTGGGCCTGTCCTATTTTATTTTTTTTAATCAAGAAAGCTTGCATGTGCAACTTGAGGAATTGCTCTGTCTGCTAGGGATTTCCTGATACGATGGCTCTGCTCTTAATGATTCCAGGGACAGAAACATCAGATCTTCCACAAAGAGCAGCTTTATTTCAGGTGCACAGTGCAGCCAAGTATGTAAATGTTATGTTTGAGGCTTTGTGAAATGTCCCAGGAAGACTGCAGGGATACTAGGTGCATGGTGTGTTCCACTCAGTGAGAAAATCCCCTGTTTGCACTTCAGAACATGAATTATTGGAATTATTGGAAACCTGTTTCCACTTCTGTGGTGTAGAGGGAACTGTTTGTGATAGCAGGAACCAGTGACAGGCCTTTTTTTGTCTGCCTTCATAGTATAGCACCGGGTGTGATTCTCTTCTTTAGTCATGAGTACATTTCACTTTTTGAATGCTTTCCTACCATAAAGGTCTGGGAAATAGTTCCCCTGCTTTCTTTTGTGATGTTTGATCTCTGATATCAACGTCTTTAGGGTCACTTGTGGTGGGTTGGAGAGAGATAAAGAAGGTTGCAGGGGACTCTTCCAGATCTGGACCTGCAAGTATACAAGGGACTCTTCTCATTGGTCTGAAGGTTTTTACAATTCCTGTGTTTCCAAAACACTAAGCCCTAATAATACCCTTTTTATTTTTTATTTTTCTTAAAAGAAATCTGTTTTCTTGTTTCTTGTTTTCAGGTAGATCAGGGAAGGGGTGGGAGGCCAACGAACAGCTGTTGAGCTTAGTGAGGGGTGCAGAGAGTAATAAGGGCCTCTACAGGTATGTGAGCCAGAAAAGGAAGGTTGAAAAGAAAAGTAACCACCTCTAATGCGTAAGACTGGTAACAACAGATGAGGAGAAGGCTGAGGTATTTGGCAAGTTTTTTGCCTATCTGGACTTCTGTAACGCCTTTGACACAGTCCCCCACAACATCCTTCCCACTGAATTGGAGAGATATGGATTTGATGGATGGGCTGTTTGATGGGTAAGGAATTGTCTGGACAGTTGCATCCAGAGAGTAGTGGTCAACAACTTGATGTCCAGATGGAGGTATCCCTCAGAGGCAAGCTGGATTGGGACAACTCCCAATATCAATACAGGCTGGGTGACAAGTGGGTTAAGAGCAGTCCTGCAGAGGAGTGCTTGAGGATACTGGAGATGAAGAGCTGAATATGAGTCAGCTATATGTGCTTGCAGCCCAGAAGGCAAGTCATCGTAACAAAAGAAATGTGGTCAGCAGGTCACAGGAGATGATTCTTCCCCTCTGCTTCCCTCTGATGGTACCCCACCTAGAGCACTGTGTTCACTTTTGGAGTCCTCAGGGCAGGAAAGACGTGGGCCTGTTGGAGTGGGTCTAGAGGAGGGCCACAAAAATCATCAGGGGACTAGAACACCTCTCCTACGAAGAAATGGTGAGAGTGTTTGAGTTGTTCAATCTGGAGAAGAGAAGGCTCTGGGGAGACCTTATCACGTCCTTTCAATACTTAAAGGGGGCCTATAAGAAAGATGGGAACAATCTGTCTTGCAGGGTCTGTTGCAATAGGGGAAGGGGTAATGGTTTTAAACTAAGAGAGGTTAGATTCATACTAGATCTCATGAAGAAATTTTTTGTGATGAAGGTGGTGAAACAACGGAACATGTTGCCCAGAGAGGTGATGGAGGCCCCATCCCTGGAGACATTCAAGGTCAGACTTGATGGAGCTCTGAGGAACTTGATCTCTAGTTGAAGATGTCCCTGCTCACTGCAGGAAGATTGGACTAGATGGCGTTTATATGCCCCTTCCAGCCCAAAACATTCTATGGTTCTGCAATCTTCTTGTGGCTGGTAGAACAGCTGAGTTAACATTAGTACATTTTCCTCAACAATTATTTATTTTTGTTTTCTCAATTTAGCTACCTTTTCCATGAGATTTCTTTATAACCTCTCCTTCCCAGCCCAAACAAATTTTCCAAACTATCTGCTATGTTCAACAGCCATGGAGGAAGACAGACAGGTAGGTGCAATGACAGTGCAATTGCCTGAGCCTTGTTTCCTTTGGAAATTTTGTTAATGGATGGTAATGTAACAACTTTTCTATCCCTTTGTGACGTGCCTCTGATTTCCTATAAAAATCTTTAACAGCTTGACATAGACAAGATATAATGTCAGGCCATGCAGCAAATGTTGGGAGGAGGAAGAGTAGTAATTCTTATAAAGCTTCACAAACTTACTTGTGGTTAAGAGCATAAATTAAATGTAGGATGTGGGCTTGGAAATAAATCCATTAGGGCATTTTGCTGAAGGTAATGGCTCACATATTCTTTACTAACAATATACCATCCACCAGCTGATGCTATATACATGATTCTGATACTCATACTGGTTTTGAATTCTTGAAAATCAGTTTGAAAACATACAACACAGGGTTATGAAATAAGCATTGGCAAGGGTACACTATTATGCCATTGACAGATAATAGATGCCATATTATGCCATAGACAGATAATTCATGCTCTAATGACAGCTACAGACAAACAAAAGGTGGACCACACCTGCGGCATAAGTTGTTTATTGGTGCATTATTTTACTCTGATTAGCAATCATTTAAGCTGCAGATACTTTTAAATCATGACATTCCACTGCTTTTGGGTAGTTAGCTGGCCAACAGAAGCTGTTATTTGTCGAACTGGCTTGGAGTCCATTATTGTTTTCTGAAAAAGGAATAAAAATAGTAAAGAAGTGATACAAGATAGTACTTACAACATATATTTGTCAAAGTTTAGGTGAAATAGTACTTTCACGGCACTCCAAGAATATGATTTCACTGTCTCTCAAATATAGAATCGTAGAATCATATGACTGTAATGTAAAATAATTCTAAGGATAAATGTATCAAAACACATACTGTGATTTTCAGAAGGCTTAATTATCTGGCTTCTACTGGAAGAGTGAGTACTTCACATGTCTAATATATCAGAAGCCAAAATAAAGCTAATTTTTTTAAAAGAGCTTTTACTGTGCCATACCAGATGAAACATATGAGTATGTATGTAGCATGAATATGCTGTCATGGCTGTATAGAAATATGTCAATAATACAGCGGAGGAATAAAATCAAGCTGTATATGAGAATTTTTTTTTAAATAAGACCAACTTCACTGGATCAGTCAAAGTCTGACTTTGTATACTGTTTCAAACAAGAGGGAAATAACACTGACATAATGCACATCCAGGAATAGGAAAACACATAGAAATATCTCACCAGAATACTTTTCCGTGCTGCCAAAACTGATGCTTCATCTAGTTCAAGAGTAAGCATGATTATCTACATGTTTGAGAACATTCGATTAGTTTGTGTTGAGGTTTTTAAAGTGCATGTGTGCTTTTGGTATGCCCACTGTGTGAAGGACCAGGCTCCAGTCTGTTTTGATACTGCTGCTTGCTAGTTTTATTTAATTTTCCCTGCTTCTTATACTTTTCCTCATATTACTCTCAAATTTTCAGCTCTATATTGTATTACTCTCTCAATTTTCTCTCTTTCACCTGTGGAATAGTTTATGGAATAAGTAGCTTTGATAGCCTGCTGTAGGATGCAGCTTGTAGTTTGCCGATGTAGGGCTAGATGGCTCATGAGTGCTGTTATGTCTTGTTGGCCATATTTTTCCAAGGTGAAAGTTTCAAAACTGCTGTAACAGTAGCTTTGTTGGATTTAAGCATTCTCTGTATCAAGCAAGAGAATTCAGACTCCCAAACTTTCTTTATATTTTGTTTCTAGAAAATATATGTCTTTCCTTCTTCATAAGACATATGTTTTTTATGGAGCATCTGACTGAAGATGAAATCTGCATTTAAAGAGCTATATTTTTATCCTGTTCTTATCCAGAATTCCATTTTATTCTTGAGTTCTGTGATAAAACATTGCTTAAGACTTTCAGATACAAATCTAGCCATTGACAAATCCAGGCTATGAGGTGGCTGTTTATAAAAGCTGTATCAAGTCACAGTTTTAAACAAAACATGCAGGTGGACTTACCCCTCACATCTTCAACTGTGTCACTGAAATGCCCTGAATATTGGCTGACCATTTATTTGAAACAGAAGTAACACACTGGTGCTTACAGAGGCTGCTTACCTGTTTTTGAGTAGCATAACTATTTTGCTTCTCCACAGGGGCGTTTTTCAGTGCTTTCTCCCTGGCATGGTCTGCCATCAGATTCTGGTGTAGGATTGTTGCACTGACGAGTTCGAGTGCTTATTCCATTGATGCAGGTGGACCAGGCACTCCAACAGCTCCAGCCTCCGTCGGTGGCAACTAGTATTAAGACACCATTCTAGGATTAGTCCAGCATCTCTCTGACTTCTGTACAGTGACAGAAAGATTAATTGGAGCCTTATACTTGGCACATTTGAGGGTGGACATTCTTACATTCTTAGTTACAGTGATACTGCAGATCATTGCAGCCTCTAGCCTGAAACTCATTGCACAGATTTGGCTTTTGAAGATGCCCTTGTCAATGGTACTGCTTAAGACCCCAGAGGTTTCAACATTTTCGTCACCCTAGGTAGTTGCCTGAATATGAAGTTCTAAGTCCCATTTTGGGCACCTGCACTATAAAAACTTGGCCAAAGAGAATGCATTTACTGCACAGTAATTTTTTTACATGGTCACTTGTAGAACTGCACTCATCTTCATCTTGCCCTTTGTGGACCAATCTAATATTAAGATAGTGCAGTAATTTTGAACTGTGATCATGCGTTAGCAAACAGTGCTTCTGCAGGAAACTGAAGACAAAAGAGCTTATGACATAGAGAGGTTGCTTCTCCTCGAAATCAGTTTACCATTATTGCACTGTGCTTCCATAATGCTCTTGTTTACTTAAATTAAGTTGGGGTATCATTCCAAGACACAACAATGCATCTGGGACAATGAACTCTAAATTAGAGTGCTCTCTTTGTGGAAAGAACCCAGTAATTTACACTAGCCTCCATACCATGTACCCCTGAGATTTGACTGCACTAGGTATAATGGTGTACTATGATGTCCTTCAGTCCTAATAAAGGCTTATTTTGTCAGGATATTGTTCATAATAATAAAAATGCACATTTCAGTCTGTGTGGAATATTTACGAACCTTTAATTAATGTGGATTTGGGAATCTGGCAAGCTATTCCCTTAAAGTAGCTTGAGCACATGCACGTACAGGCTCCATCTACCAGCACAAGGGTGCCTCCATTTTTGCACGGTTCACATTTGCATACACTGTATTCAGTAATGTAGTCTTCAATTGCTCTTTCCAAATTTTGTTTCTTTAAATATGCATTTCTCATCTTAACTGGAACAAGTGTATATATCGGAGACGGCTGTAGAAGGAAAAAGCGCATGCATGACAGACTTTTCCAAAGTTCTGAATACTTTTGATATACTCATCACTAGAGAAGGTGTTTGAAGAAAGTGTCAAGATGAAGAAAATACCTGAAAGAGCATGATAAACTTGGGTTTTCACCTCCATCTTACAGCAAAAGATTTCAAACTATAAAAGCTACAGCTTTGAAGAAGTTGTACTTACACGCTGCTGTATCACTACTGGAGCATCAACCAAAGACTTAGCCCACTGTATGTAATCCTCTACATCAACCATGCTGGATCCTCGTAGTAACATTTCTTTTATTTTAACTGAAAAGTCAATCTTCCCTCCATCAACTAAGGAAATGACATCATCAATGACAGCATCATCCTTAAATTCTGCTGCAGAAAGAAAGAAAGAAGAATGGATGAAGAAGAAAGTGTAATGGCCTTGCATTTTGAAGAACAGTTGTTCTTTTATGACAGCCCGTCCATCTCTATAAAATGACCACAGAGACAACAATCCTTCACTCACTGCTTTTGGTGAAATTCAATGTTTTTTTCTGAATATACATTTTGTGTGGGAGGAAATTTTCTACATCGCAATTAAATTAAAAAACTCTATATCTGAAAGTAAAAGAAGGGGCAGGACAAAATGGGAGACATTATGAGGATCATAATCATCTGATAACACACCAAAGATAAAATAAGTAATACTGCTGTTTTACCTGAGCTGAACCAGAAAAAGGCAGGAATTAGAACAGAAGGAGCTTTGGCTTCAAAGCAAAACTGCAAGGACAGATCATTGAAAATCATTGCCTTTTCTGTGCTCAATATTGAACCTCCTTGCTTTTTGCCATTTTTCCATCATGTGACAAAATACTCATCTCCAGACTCACACAGGAGCAGAGAGGGACAGTGGCAGGGAAGGAAACACAAGTAGCCTAATCAAAGAAGGCCCATACATTGACTTCTCCCAGACCATTTTCAGCAGAACCATCCACCCTGCATTCTGGGGCTGAGGTTGAGTCAGCACCAAGATGAGTCAATGGAAAGGCTCTCTGGATGCAAAGAAGGGCATTTTGGGATTGCACAGGCTTATATGCTGAGAGTGTATTTAGGGGATACCACTGCGGAAGTAAGGAGGGAATCAGATTGGCCTTTGGAAAGAACAAGCATGGGAAAACAGAGGGATAAAGGCAAAAAGGGGACTGACTGCATATAGAAAGGTGCCTGAACAGTGAGCTTGTCTGCCGTGTACTGTCCTTAATCTTTGCAGTCTCTCTGGTTTACCATTAAATTCCATTTTTATTCCATTCTATAACTATTTTCCTGGGTGAGAGGACTCTATTCTGCGTGCGCACATGTATATAGAGATCTGTGTGCCAGCAACTAGACTTGGATGATGACTGGATCTGACATTCGTGCTGCCAATGACTGGAGCGAGTGAGGATATGTGTGCTAGTGTGTGATCACCAGCAAACAGCAAACCAGACTAGCAGATGAATAGGGTAACTTGGGAGCCAAGTATCAAAGTGGATGTTAGTCTAGCCTAGATATGTACATGTCTCCAGGGTGAGAATTAGAGGAGCTGGCTACTGGAGTAACCAGGAGTTCTAGGCCAAATATTGGAGGGACCTCAAGGTCCCAGGGTTGACTGGCACGTGTTTGCATGTGAACGAATGTCTGTGCAAGACAACTGGTGATAAGAGGAACCAAGGGTCAAATGCGGGGCAGACTGAGCACCGAAAGCCAGTTACTGGAGGGATCCATAGTGTGTGTGGAGGAGGCATGTGTGTAATGGTGTGCATCAGATGGGCTGTACCAGCAATGGGAGTGGAGCTGTGGTCCTTGGGGTGTTTAACACCTGGGTGCCAGTAACAGGGGAGACTAAGGATCCAGCTGCTGGTTCAGCTGGTGGTCTCAAGTCAGCTGCTGGTGACCTGTATTGGCTGTATATGTACATTGTGGAGGGGCTGAAATACCTGAGGGTTGTGTTACCTGGGGAGAAGATCTGCTCTACGTGACCCTGCTTGAGCAGGGGAGTTGGACAAGACGGTCTCCAAAGTACCCTTCTAACTCCAATCATTCTGTGATTCTGTGATATTCCTCATTAACAGACTTTCACCCTGAGCAGATGGAGAGGAGAACAGAATGAAGTTATTGTTGCTGTTTGTGTTTACCTGAGTGTTATGAATTTGTCTATATTGATTTGTATGGCCAGCAGTGTGTGCTTGTATAAGTCATGAAAGTGTGTTTGTGTGTGTGCCTATGGGGAACACATACTCAGCCTGGCTTGACCTGGGGCCATGGAGGTACAACTGCCTCACCTCTACTGATCTAAGAGATTTGTCCTTTCCCTAACATCAATAACAGTATTGATTATAAAAGGGGAAACAATATCATCTTTTCTTAAGCAAAAGATAAAATGTAACATAAGGATATACTTACAGTTGTCCTTCACAGTAATCTTTTCACATTTACCACCGCCAATATTAACACTGGCCTGTAAGTTTTCATATGCAATCGTGGCATCTAAGTTATAGCCAAGGCATTTTTTCACATCTTCTACAGTGATACCTTGAAGTGGAAATAACAAAGGAATTGAATTACCATTAATAATGTAATATTATTATCCTTGGACAACAAATTTCATGGCTTTTGGAAGTGTTTATGTCTTCCTTCTTCCCATTTATCTTGTGCTTTTTCCTCTTCCATTAAATGAGTGTGAGGATGATTGTATCTGAAGTGCCTGCACAGAGGCAGGTGACATGTACAGCGATTGGGAAAAATACCAAAATCCTCCAAGAGCTGACTTCTGTTTTTCTTGATCTAGCTGAAAGCAGATGTGCCTCTAGGGACCACTCTT